GTTGTTTTTTATCCTCTGTGGGCGTGTGCTTGAATGAAGTCTCACAGCCAAGCATCATTTTATTTGGCAAAACAATAAAAAAAAATAAAAAGAAAAACAAGAACAGAGATTAAAGAGAGAGAAGCATGTATCGTTTGTAACCTAGCGGCACAATGAGAGGAGCAATCTAGGTTCTTGTTGTTGCTGTGGGTGCCACAAGCTGCTGCCGTTATGTCATCCATAGTTGAAGAAGAGGAGTCATGACTGGTATTTTTGTTTCCCTTGTGTGATTTGCTCTTCATTTGCTCTTCAAGACAAGAAATCAACACTGTTTTGGGTTGAATCTTTAAAACAGAATTTGTACGTGAATTTACACAAGATTCGTCAAAATAGTATTTAACTTTGGATAAGGAGATGTGAGGAAAATATAGAAGAAATACCCCTTGTGTAAATAGTGTGTTTACACAAGATTCACTCAAGATTCAAATTCTGTGTTGTGTAAATGGGACCTTCAATTCACTCAAGATTCAAATTTTGTGTTGACAGAATTTGTAAATACAGATTCAACCCAAAACAGTATTTACACAAGAAATACCCCTTCGGATTATACTGTTTTGGAGGTGGAGATGTGAGGAAAATACAGAATTTGTAAATACTGTCAATACAGAATTTTGAATCTTTAATACTGTCAACATGTTTAATAATACCTTTTATTGTTATCTTTTCATTCTCAATTGACTTTAATAATATTGTCAACATGTTTAACAATATAGTCAACATGTTTAATACTGTCATGAATTTTGACAATACAGAATTTTGGAACCTGTCAACATGTTTAATACAATTGACTTTACATGTTTAATAGAATTTTGGAACCTGTCAACATCTTTTCATTCTCAATTGACTTTACATGTTTAATAATACCTTTTATGGTTTTATCTATTGCTTTTTATTGTTGTAGACTATGGCTGTATTCTATCATCAATTCAATTCAAAATGCCATTTTTCAATTACTTATGGTTGCAAAGATTTTTATCTTCTCACATTGAATAATTCTTTTGGATTCCATGATTGATTTAAGCTATAAAATTCAACTCCTTTTGATTCTAGCCTAATGGCTCTCATATTTTACAAATTTGAAAAGCCCCATTCTTAAGGTGGCTGCCATTAATAACATAATCGTTTGTACTCTAAATTTTGTATTCTATTTAACTGTGAAGATAGAATGGATATTGATTCAAACAATAATTTTTTCAATGAGGGTGACGAAGTTGAAGAAGAAGATAACACTCTTTCATTTAATAAGTGTGGTGAAGTTGAAGAACCTAAGAAGGGAATGTATTTTAGCTCAAAGGAAGAGGTGTACGCATTTTATGCAAAATATGCGAAACACTCGGGATTTGCTATAGCTTGTAGAACACAAAATTTAACATGTGATGGGGAAGTTAAGTACTTTGGAATTGAATGTACTAGGGCACGAAACAGAACAAAAAGATTAGAAATAAATCCCTTGGAACCATCTTTGTCATCAAAAATTGATTGTAAAGCAAGGGTAAGAGCCAGTCTACAAAAGGATGGAACATATAAGTTAACCACAGTTGTGCTTGAGCACACTCATGATTTGGTTGCTACTAACTCACAGCATTTTGTAATGAATAAGAGGATTGTTACTTCGGTGAAGAGGAGACTAGAAGTTAACGATACAGCAGGGATTGGGGTGGCTAGGAATTTTCATTCCATAGTCGTTGAAGCAGGGGGATATAAGGCATTAACGTTTGATGAACAAGATGCAAGGAAGTATATTCAGAATGCTAGAAGATTGAGATTTGGGGTAGGAAATGCTAAATCAGTTGCACTTTATTTTCACAAAATGAAATAACAAAATTCGAACTTCTATTTGGCAGTTGACCTTAATGAAGATGGTCGAATACGAAACTTGTTTTGGCCGAATGTAAGGAGTAGGGCGGCTTATAAAGGATTTTAGGATGTTGTCTCATTTGACATAACCTATATACCAAACAAATATGATATGTCGTTTGCTCCATTTGTAGGAGTTAATCACAATAGACAGTCAATTTTGTTTGGTTGTGAGTTGTTTATGTAATGAGAACACTGAGACATTTGTTTGACTATTCAAAAAATGGTTAAGTTGCATGTTAGATGCTCCCCCAAAAGCTATAATAATTGACCGGTGCAGATGTCACGACCCAAATCCGCCCCTATAGGTTTAACATCGTAATCGGCCAGTAATCATAAGATTACTGAAAGCCTCTGATTAATATTAACAAACAAGGGGCTAGCGGAAGCAAATATTACAAAAACAACGTCCATATAGCTGTGCAGACTTATATGGGATAGAAAATTTACAACTTACATTCACATATTTATATGTAGTCACTGTCTTACAGCACCTACTTCTAAACAAAACAAAAAGGGCCTTGACCCTAAATTCAGATTATACAAAAATCTTGGTTAACAAAAGAAAGAAAAAATTAAGACAGACATCACGTGCACTAGACTTAAACATTTGAAACACTTGGGGACCACTTCGGGAGGCACGGTGGCTGACTTGAAAAAACAGAACTCCAGACTAGCAATATAGGCCTGGTCTTGTGCCTGATTATCTACATACATAAATAATACAGTGAGTTGGAGTCTAGTGGATAACAAGAGAGTATACGGTTTATAAATGATGTATAAAATAGATTCAGAAATCAGAGTTCAGATCAGAACAAATTCAGATTCACATACTTACACAAATTTCTCAACCAGTTATACGTGGTACAACCATTAGCTAACAAATCACTTGGTTATAAAGACCCACATTCACTTGGGATGGTCATAAAGACCCACATTCACTTGAGATAGTCATAAAGACCCACGTGCAGATCATATAAGCAGTTATGCATAACCAGTTAGCTTACATGTTTATGCTAAAAACATAGTCAAAATTTAAAAATCGAATATGTGTAGAGAGAGAGAGAGAGAGAGAGATTACCGAGTTGAATTGGGGATTCAAGAATTTGTTAAACTTCAAATATTCATCAATGTTTGGTACTATAGGGTCAGAAGGTGCATCAAGATGAATCTCGTAAGTTAAGCTTTCCTTGTACAGGAGGTGCAACACACTATGTATGAACCGGTACGTGTTAAATATTAAGGTTGTTTCGTGTTTTTTTTTTTTTGGCTTTTAATTTTAGTGCTTGAAATTACTAATTAACTTGTGTTACTATTTTATCATTAGGTGCCACCAAATCAACCTTACTATTGTCCTTCTATGGATGTCATAGCAGACAGTATGTATGTACCGGTATGTGTTGAACGGACTTAATATATTGCACTTTGTTTGTTGTCGCTTGATATTGGTGAATATGTTTGTGGAATTTTTTTTTTAATATTTACTTTATTTTTACAGGCACCAGTTAGCACAATTAGGGACAACATTGGAAGCACATCTCATACTCAAGCTGGAATGGTCAATAATATTAGCAGTCAAAGTTTGATAGTACCACCAAATTTTGTTGACTTGAACATCGACGGGGATCCGAATGTCCCATTTTTTTTTTTAGTTTCGAAGTGCTAATTGTACGTGAATTTCATTTGTAAACTTCGGATTGTTCACTTGAATGTCCCATTTTTTTGAGTTGAATGAATTGAAGGTCCCATTTTTGAAAGAATAGAAACCTGTAGGGTGTTGGATATTCTTACAAATGGTTCTTAACATGTTTTATGGGCTTACTAGTTGACCTTTTGATAAGCTGCTAGGGATCAGGGTTAATATCCATGTTTTTGTTCTTTTATTTAGTTTTTTTGGTCCTTTTAACTACGATCCTTGATGCCATGATTGGTGAATACAATATTGCAATTTGCATGATATTCAATTTGAAGTTTTACAGTCACTAAATTCAGTTCTACTATGTCCATGGATCTTCTGCAGTGCTTAGCAGTTATGAACTTTAGAAGCTCCTAAGTCTGAATTGAATCTTTAACAATTGGATAATTTCTTATTTTAGTACAAGGGGCTGTCCTGGCCTCAAAAGCCTGTATTTTGGTCCTTTTAACTACGATCCTTGATGCCATGATTGGTGAATACAATATTGCAATTTGCATGATATTCAATTTGAAGTTTTACAGTCACTAAATTCAGTTCTACTGTGTCCATGGATCTTCTGCAGTGCTTAGCAGTTATGAACTTTAGAAGCTCCTAGGTCTGAATTGAATCTTTAACAATTGGATAATTTCTTATTTTAGTACAAGGGGCTGTCCTAACCTCAAAAGCCTGCATCTTACTGTGTTGCAAGCTCTGTGTATGTTGAGTGAATTTCATAAACCTATTCAGTGAATTTATTGAGTGAATTTCAATTATTGAGTGAATTTGTTGAGTGAATTTCAGCTGTTGAACATGGACCATTCATGCGTGAATTTGTTGAGTGAATTTCAGAAACCTGTGTGTGTGTTACCAAACTAGAAACCTGTGTGTATGCTTCTCATTCAAGCCAACAAATTTCTTGAAATATTACTTATTCATTCACCAGGTTCATTCAAGGTCCTTCACCTTTGTCTCAAAGAAACCTGTTATACACATTGTTAATCAATACACACTGTTCATTCAACATATTTCATCTCAAAGAAACCTGTTATACACCTTCAACCTGTTCATTGAACACATTGTTAATCAACCTGTTCAACCATTGTCCAAAAAAATACACTGTTTAGCACCTGTTCATTCAACACATTGTTAATTAATACACCTGTTTTTTCAAACCATCACATATAATACACACTGTTAAGCAACCAGCATAATTCAACAGATTTCACACATTGTTCATAATCAATACACACTGTTGATTCAACAGATTTCATCCCAAAGAAACCTATTATACACTTTCAACCTGTTCAACTTGTTCATTCAGCACATTGTTAATCAACCTGTTCAACCATTGTCCAAAAAAATACACTGTTAAGCACCTATTCATTCAACACATTGTTAATCAATACACCTGTTTTTTCAAACCATCAGATTTTTAAGCACCAACAAAAAAATACAAAACAAGTAGAAAAGTAGATTACATTCATAGCATGTTCCAAAACCTAACAACTTAGTCATTTATATGATAAAGTACAAAAATACACAAAATACAATGACATAAGTCATTGCCTTGAAAATCTTCTCCATCCTTTGAAGCCTTTTATCATGCTCATGAATTGCATTGTCCATCTCACCAAGCCTTCTCCTTAGATCATTAATTTCTTCTATTCTTGAATCTATCCGAGGTCCAGCATTGGCACGGATTGTGGAGGTAACGTCGTCATCATCATCTGCGAATCTGAAGTAATTGTAGTGTTCGTTTGCAATCTACAATGCACAAGAATCAGTTAATCAATAAATAACAAATGAAATTTGTAGAAAGTAAAAGATCAATTTATATAACAAATACTTACATATTTTGTTGGGCAAACAAAAAAGACACGTCCTTCATTTCCATTTTCATTGGTTCGTATAATATGCATGGAAGCTGTTCTTCCACAATTACACAATCTTGGCTTTAATCTTATGTTCCTATTATTAGTAGAAGATGAAGCCATTTTTTTATCTGTATAAAAAATACCAACAGATTCAACTACCGATTAGTAGAAGATGATGTTCTTCTTATTTTTTTATCTCCCAAGTTGTTCTACCTATTAGTAGAAGATGATGATTCAACTACCTATTAGCAGAAGATGATAATGATTCAACTACCTACCAAGCTGTTCTTCCATTTTTTTTATCTTCCTATTATTAGTGGAAGATGATGTTGGAGTTCAATCTTGATAACAGATTTGTTTAAAGAGTTCAATCTTGATAACAGAGTTCAATCTGTTTAAAATAGAGACAGATGCGTTCAAGATTGAACTCTCTTATCAGGTTAATCTTGAATTAATTTTGATAACAGAGTTCGATCTTGATATGTTGAATTAACCAGGTTAATCTTGATAACAGAGTTCAATCTTGAATTAATTTGGTTAACAGGTTAATCTTGAATTAATTTTTCACAAAACTCTGTTCAATCTGTTAAATTAAGATAACAGAGTTCAATCTGTTTTTCACACACAGAACATTGAATTATTCATTGAATTAATTTTGAAATTATTTAACATAGGAACATTTCATGAAGTTTAGGAACATTTCATCAATTTTTCACAGAACATTTCATCAAGATTAAAAATTAATTCAAGATTAACCTGTTAATCTTGATAACAGAGTTCAATCTTTAACTAGGCACACCACCAGGTTAACCAGGTTAATCTTGATAACAAAGTTCATTCTTGATAACAGGTATATTTTGTATGACCAGATTGAACTCTAACAGAGTAGGTATACTTTGTATGACCAGATTTGCCTTTATACTTGTTATCGAGATTTTGATAACAGAGTTCATTCTTGATAACAGAGTAACACATCTTGATAACAGAGTGTTACTGTCATACAAAGTAGGTTTGGGATAACAGGTATCAAGAATCCCAAATATACCAGGACAGCAACACATCTTGATAACATAATTCATTCCCAAACCCCAAACCTACTCTGTTTTATATCTATTATAACAGAGTTCATTCTAGATAACAGGCATAAAGGCAAATCCCAAACCTTAACACATCACAAATTAAAGCCAAATCCCAAACCCTAACACAAATTGCAAGCAAAATCCATCCCTAAACATTCCCAATTGACTAATTTCTACAAAAATTGAAGCCAAACGTAAACCCTAACTTTGCGATTTCAGCTTTACCTCAAATTCGCTGTCGCAGGCTCTCGTTCGTCCTGTGTCGTGGTTCGTCATCCTCCGTCGTCGTTCATCCACCGTCTCGTCGTCCTTCGTCCCCCGCCTCGTCGTCCTTCGTACTCCTTCAAGAGACAGGTGAGAGAGGCAAGAATAAAGAGATAAAGAGGAGAGAGGGATAAGGCAAGAGTGAGAGAGAGGTGAGAGTGCTGATTTCTTGCAATTTGTTGAGAATGAGAGAGGTGAGGGGCGAGAGTAAAGAGATATAGTGAACTACTAAAGCGGAGAGGGAAAAGATCGAGAGGGGAGAGAAATTTGTACTTTCGAGCCATTCGAGCCCGAAATATTCAAGCTACAGATCATTTTTGATAATAGAATTCACAGAGTGAACACAAGAACTGAAATTGTGAAACTTCAAGCAAAACCCATTAAAAGATAATGATAAAATAAAATAAAAGCAAGTACTCGAAGGTCTCATACACAGTTTGAACTTATTCTACAAGGCCTACATACGTTAGGTTGCATGAAGAACTTTTTCAAATAGTCATCTTTTCCAAAACTGTATTACTATCCTCTTCTAAGGAAATCACACCTTTGTTCTTAAGCTTATAACCAAATGAATCACTAAAATCTCTGCTAATTATTCGGTTCCCATCAGTTACCAACAATGGCCTCACTGTTGGTGTAAGTGGTGATGGAACTAAACTAAACTAAAACTCATCCTTTTGAGCCTGCTCTCTATACAGCTGAGCAGTGAGGTAACTTTCTAAAGGGTTCAATGGTTTAACAGAAAACTCGCGAGACCTTCTACTTCTAAGAGGCTTGCTCTTTGCTAATCTATAGGTCTCAAATCCCAGTAAAGCATCACCAAAGTTGTCAAAACTCTCATTCTTTTCACCAATTCCAATCACATTGTCCTGAAAATTTTCTTTTCGTTGGAATCCTGGTGGAAAATTCTTCGTCATAAGCACATTGTAATTCTCATAATTCCCTACATTTGCCAAAACTTTAGCATCACTGTCACTTGTAGATGCATTTCCAGCTACCAAACTACCACCATGTCAATCCAATTCATGAAACGTCCAATCTGAAACTGATAGGAATTGGGCTTTAGTTTGTTGGTTTGCATTCCATTTGACATCAAAATGTGCACACTTGGTCCCTTGGGCCATCACGCATTGAAATGAGCGCTTGATGGTCCGAGAACCAAGGACCATGTCCCTTTGAGTCATACACATGATGAGGGATAGGATTGGCGCATACATTGCTTGAATTGCATTGCCATGCTATGCCTTGCCCTCTGCTGCTATCAATTGCAGGTTCTGCAGACATTCTTTGCCGACCGGCAGTGTTTAATGCCGACCGACAATCCATTGGTGGCCGATAGCTTCACCAACAGCCGATGATCATATACCACTGTCGGTGGCTACTCTACTCAGCCGGTGGTGTCTCCCAATGTCCAAGGAAGCAATTCTGAGACTTTGGCGGTCTTCAAAGAGGCAGAGCAGGGAAAACAGAGGTGGCCTATGCATGGCAGTGTACTTCCGAGCAAGACCCGAGCACGCGCGCATCGAACCCTCTTCCCGAGCCCCCCCTTTTATTGCTTTCCTTATGCTTAGTTAATTTGTTAATTAATTAGGTGATTTGTAATAATTAATTAGCTTGCAAGTTAGTTAATTTGAATTATTCTTTCGGTCCCTCCGAGCGAGGGCAAATTTGTAATAAGTGTGGGTGAGTGTGTGCATGTCTTCCAACCCCCACTTCTTTCTCCCTTTTACTTACCTGCTTTGATGGTTAGTAACAGGTCATGTTTAATTTAGCATACCTTATGCTATGCATGCGTGCATCATTCATCAGTATTGCATGCACCGGGCTCGGCGCATCATACTAACTGCATAAGTATTTCAAATCTAACTTGAATACATGCTACTTGTGCATTTTCACATGCCATGTTTAGGTTAGCCGAGCCTATTCTAGCAACACTTTGTATGCGATGCATTAGGCACTTAACATGGACTTGGATCATGCATATTTGCTAACAAGTTCTTTGTTTTGGCACGGAGTACGATGTAAGTATTTCCGCTTTAGCATATCACATGAGTGTGAATATTGCCATGACAGCATGCTTAACATGTGGCTAAATGCTTACGTGTTAAACTGTTTTGAATGCCTGTGGGTGAAGGTTGGATTGTTTGAGTTGGAATGGCTCATTGAATCCGTGTTTTAGCCTACTTTGCGAGTAGCAAAATTCCAAATATTTTTCCAAAACGAAAACGGATATGCAATGGCTTATTCTCAATTCGGCATTCTGTCTATTACTTTTGTGTTGTGCGCATAACATATGTAAATTTCTAGGCCTAATAACCGGATATAATGAACCATAACGTTTTTCAAAAATTGAATATCACTGGTTAGTAGAGGCCGATCTTCGGATCGGGCGAGAGGGGGTGCTCATAGCTGACCTTCCCCAATCGTACCCAAGTTCCCGAGCCGAGGCAACTTTGGTGATGACGGACGCGTGGCCTTTGGCACCGAGACAGGGTTTCCTAAATTCCCCCAAAATAAAATATTTAGGTGGCGACTCTGTATCTGGCAAAGCAGTCCATATTTGGTACTTCTTTTCAAAAATCTTTTTCTCAAAACGATTTGCCGGATTTGGACTCTTTGGTTCAGATTAAGAACCGTGACACAAATCGAGTCCGAACTGTAGTGAGGCCCACGGGCGCATGCTACAGTTTCTGGCGACTCCGCTGGGGATTTAGAGAGCTTGACTCGAACTCGTGATATCCTATTTTGATTTCATTTATGTGCCTCTTTGCATTGCATGTGCATTGGTGCGCCTAGGACACCGTGTTTGCCATCTGCCATTCCTGAACGGTTTGCCAAAGGCTTGACTTTGTCAAAGCATGCCATAAGGCTGACCGGTTGTGGGCTTTGACTGTATGGGAACACAAACCCCGGTTTTACCGGGGCACCTTTTTCGACCATTCGACCTAGTGCATATTGGGATCCATAGTAACCATTCTAAGCTAGGACAGGTTCCTTACCCAATGTTAGGTTGTTTGAAAACTGTTGCGTGCATAGTGAAACCCTAGCTCCTGACAAAATAGGACAGGGAAACCCTACCCCTCCATAGGAGTGTTTTGGCTCTCTTTACTTGCTATGTGCTTTTAGAATGTATCTCTACAGGAACATACATATCAGTTTGCAAGTTTGAGTATCAGGCCCGAGGGCACCAGTATCAGTATTGTTGAGAAATCAGTTATCTGCGGGTATCAAGTTCAGTTTTGGGAATAGTGGTTCTGGGGAACAGTGATCAGTAGTAGAGTGCAGTTGTTCAGCTACACCTGTGTTTGATCTGTTTGGGCTGAAATGCTGTTTGTTTTCCCTTTCAGTTCAGAGGTTCAGAGAGTTGATACAAAGTAGCTAGTGTTCCCCCTTGCTGAGGCAGGACTTATGATGACGCAGAATTCAGAAGAGATTGTGGTTATGACAGCTACGCTAGATCAAGGGATCACCCTCCAGGATGAAACCAATGTTGATGTATCGCATCCGCCCAGGTCGCCTGTCGCGTACCCGATCTGGACTTCCCAGTTGTATCAGGCTTGCGAGCCCACTAAATTCGAGTTGATGGGAATGATTGGTGACCTCCAGAGATCCGTGGCTGATCTGGCCTATGGAATGTCGGCTTCACCGCCAACGGCACCGTATGCCGGGAATTTCATGCCACAGGACCCCCCGCTACTGGGGCGGATTATGATAGAGCTCAGCTAGCCAGAGATGGCTTCCAGCTACAGCCATGACGTGTCAGCAACAACTGAGCTTCGCCCTGAAGTAACAACCCAAACCCTTGACCAGGCCGAGGCCAGAGGCAAGAACAAAATGAAGGCAGATACCGATCCCATTGAACAACTGTTGCAGGCAGTCGAGGCTTTGAAAGCCGGGGGATGAACAAGCAACAGATATCCGCAGTTGTGGCAAAAACTGTGGAGGATGCTTTCCCCACTCCACCTGAGGGTAGTTCAAGTCAGTCAGAAAATTGGGATAGGCCCCGTCATGCCAGAACAGTTCCTCCTATTCCCAACCCTGCACCTGGCAAAGATCAGAAAGCTAAGGCAGTGCCTGCCGACCCTTTTGCTAGTGCGTCTAGTAAGAATGCTCAGACTTCAAAATACCTGCCCCGAGGGCGCAGGACCTTTCATGCTCTCTACATACCTCTGTCTAAGGCACTTCAGATTCTTGCCGAAAGGGGGCACCTCAAACCCCTTGAACCTCGGCCTCTCCCGAAGAATCTCCCCCCACACATGATGTTGCTTTGTACTGCGCGTACCACCAACAGACCGGTCACGCCACCGATAACTATTTCCGCCTTCGTCATGAAGTGTAGGATCTGATCGATAATGAGGTCATTCTTCCACCTACCTCAACGAAGTCTGTTACCACCGAGCTGTTGGACTTTGAGGATACTGCAAGTATGTGATCAGGGGTTGGACCACCTGCGGGCGGCGCTCGGTGTAGTTCAGATATGGCGTCTGGCACGCACTTTTGAGCATTTGTAAATGCAGTTTTGTAGCTTCTGGCTTGGGTTTTGAGTCAATTCTCTGTTCTGTTTTTGAATCTGTCTCCTTGCTTTGAGTCAGTCTTTTTGATTTTGGGTCTGTCTTGTGGTACCGAGTCAGTCCCGTTGTATAGGATGTCAGGTGATTCCGGGGTTGTTGCCTCGAACACCGTTTTTGTATTTAACCTTTTTGCTTTCTTTTTGAGTCTGTCTCTGTTATGGAGCTAGTTATATTCGAGAAACCTGAATGAAACAGCTTCGGCTATCATGTTTCCGTGCTTATTGTTTGTTTTGGGCTAGTTGTGCCAGAGGATTTGAATCAAACGGCCGTGCATTCCACCTGTTCTCTTGTGCCCTGAAAATTATTGCATTGACCTATGTTTTTCAAAACCTCTTTAACACTGCGGTGAAAACAAAGAGGAAGGAATTCCTCGAGTTTTGCGAAACTTTGATCAATTTAAGAAAAGGAGAGGCACGCTAAGCCTTTAATGAATGAAACCATGCTTGTCAGCGTGAGTACTGGGAAGGACCCTGGCTTGATCCAGATTGGTTCCACACTATCTTAGACGCGAGCGATTTGTCGCTTTCTTAAAAATTTTCAAAAACAAATGTTTTGTGCGGCCCTGTGAAGACCTGTGTGGAATCGCTCTTGAGATTGTGCAACCTAGGATCGCTCCCAGCCTCAAGATTTGACCTGTTTGTTTTGAACCTCGAACTCATTCGGAACATTCAAACGGTCAACTGTCGGAGGAGGCCCGTGTGGCCAGTTTTGAAGCAGCCCTCGAACAAGAGGCACCAAAGCCGAATCAAAAAGATTAGGTCTCACCAGAAGAAGCTCGCGGAGCAACCATGATGGATTCTTCTGCAAATCATTGCAACAGCCGTTCTCCTAAATACAGGGAGGCTTCAA